CCATCCATCATCCCTAACCTACAAAAATATGGTTATACTATAATATATTGGTCAAAATTAATACATGTAAATTTTCTTTTCTTTTATATTCTGAAGAGAGAAAAAAGGAAAATCTGATTTTCGACCCATGCTGCATAGGACGAGGCCCAGGCCCCTCATGATCTATAAAAATGGTATTGGGAATCTGCCAGTTCAAAAAGCCTACCTAAAAATTTTGTATTTTCTCTCACATAATTAGGCTACCCAGACTAATTAAAATCACAAATTTTCCTTTTGGGCTGGAATTTTTGGAACTTCACATGATGAGCAGAGCTCCTGATAGGTCTGTGATAATATCACAGAAATTCCGAGATCTGCAAGCAGGCACCCACTGACATACGCCCCCCCATACCCAACTAGCTCAGCTCCAAACTGCCAGCACAACAAGAGATCATGGTTATGAGAACCTGGTCACGAGTCTACTCCAAACCTTCAAGACAGAAAACATTACGGGGTAAAAGTCCATGCACAGAGAGCCAGGGAATGTAAAAAGAGTCCCTGGTGGTTAAAGGCGAGGAGCCACTGGCTTCGCTGTGAGGACTGTTGGTTTTCCGGTGGAAGTTGGGGAGCAAGGGGTAAGGATAGAACACTGATAGGATTTTTTCTAGTAATGAAGTAAGAGATATTTCTCACCACAGATTAAGGAACTCTCTAGAGCCTAATACAAACACATTAACAGATGATAAACAGGAATTTTATCCTTCATGTATGTGAACATAAGCGAAAGGTAATTTTTACCACCTGCCTTAGAGCATTAAAATGAGTGCTTTTAAATAAGGGGACAAAGGGTATTAGCCCTGCTGTTTACAGGGTGAAGGGAAATGAACACTCTCCATTCCCACCTCCTTTATGAGATCTGCCCACTGCAGTGGCAGTAAACGAATGAAGAGCACAGACCTTGGAGTCAGAAGACGAGGGTCTGAAACTCAGTTCTGCCGTTCCATGCTGAGCAGTGCTGGGCACACAGCTGCTTAATATCCTTGTGCTTCGTTTTCCAGCTGAAAAACGGAGGCAATACTTCCCTCTCCAAAGAACGTGTTATTGCTGAAAGAGCACTGGGTTACAATCAATGAATCGGTTCCTCCCAACCCCACTTCTGCCATTTACCTGAAGTGCACACTTGGATGACTTGCCTAATTCCTCCAGCTTTAGTTTTCTCCCCTAGGAGTCAATAACACCACTTGTCCTTCAATCTCATAGGTTGATTTTGAGGAAAGGAGATAATTCAGGTGGTGGTGGGGAGGTGGGTATCTTGTAAGTGGTAAAGCAAATAGGTTCATGCAAACGTATTATCATATCAATGTGACACTCAGGCTACGTTTTTTTTGCTCAGATTAAATGTCATTTCAGAGCAAATCTTCAAGGAATTGTTGTGTCTCTCAGCCTGTTGACAGAGGATAAGTGGTAAGGGGTTTCTAGTAGTTACTTAGTTGAGTCTGTATCTGCATGTCTCCCGCCATCCTCAACAGCTATTGGGTGGTGTTGGCTGTACCCATCCTCAGCATAATCCCATCCCCACCCTGCGGTGGCTCCTGGGGTGCTCCTCAGAGGGTGCAGGTGGTGTTGAAGGCTTTGTTTCCATAGTGCCCAGGTGAGTCACTCCTCCCACCTGGATGTGAAGGAATCACATACGCCAGGACCTGCCCACAGCCATCTTGACATCATCTGGGAAGAGTGAAGCCAGAGCTGAGAACAACTGCAGAGAAAAGAGCCATTGCTCTGCCGATCTCATAGTCCTCCACTAAATCGTGTCCAAAGCTAGTGTCCTCCCCGGCTTTTCTGTTAGATGAGGCAATACATTTTCTTGATTGATTTTGAGTTGCTTTTTTTTTTTAACTGTTCTTGCAAGTAATATAATCTTAAGGAATAGACCATGTAACCGTGAGCAAGTCTCATCAACCCTCTAAACGTCAGTTTCCTGATCTATAATGAGAGGCAAAATTACCCCTGTCCTATACAGAGTTGCAGTGAGGCTCAATAGTGCTTGAAAAGTGCTTTGCACAGAGCTTGGTAAAAAGAAAGCATTCGATAAATTGTGGCTATATTTAGTTTGGTGTTCCAGACATTGTGCTAAATGCTTTAGTACATCATTCCCCTTAATCATCACGTATGACCAATCTTATGAGGTAGGATTTATTATCCCCATTTCACAAATGAAGAAATGAGGGTTAGGGTTTAAGTGATTTGCCCAGGGTCCTGTGGCTACCAAGAGGCAGAAATGTCACAGAGTGTGAGTGTTTCTTTTTTAAACCTTTGAACAGATGATTGATGTTGACTATACAGTATCAGTAAAATATTAATTGGTGCCTGTAATGTGCCAAAAAGTGTTAGGTATTAGGGACATAGCCATAAATATACATGTTCTCAATGAGTTTAGTTTTAGAGGATACAGTCTTACAACTATCTGTATTATAAGAGATATTAGATTGAACGTGTGCCTTGGATTTACTGGCATCATGCTCTTAAACACTGAGCTAACAACCTCTGCATCCTATGAGCACATGAAAAGCAATTAAGTTATGCAACTAAATGCAGAACATACAGACGTCATTTCCATATACAGCTTAAAATGCATGCACACACACTACATCCCAATTGCTATTTACTTTCTCCTAAAATCCTGAGCTAAAATGTTACTTTTTTTTTACATTTATTGATTCATGCTATTGTTGAGTTTTTTAAAAAAAACAACAAACTTCTTCATATGCACTATTAAGGTATTTTCTCTCATTCTCTTTCTGACATGATGTCAACTTGCATATGTTTTCAAGGATTCTGAACAATACTATTAGATGTGATAATATGATGGAGGAAACAAGCCCAGGGTATGATTTTCTCTCATTCTCTTTCTCATTCTCTTTCTGACATGATGTCAACTTGCATATGTTTTCAAGGATTCTGAACAATACTATTAGATGTGATAATATGATGGAGGAAACAAGCCCAGGGTCCCCACTGCACTGTTGTCCTTGGGAAATCTAATGAAGTGTTTTACTGTTTACCTGTAAGTGACATTCTCCAGTTGTCTGTACATGTTACGGAGTGCCTGGGGAAGAACTCCAGTCTCTGGGACTGTAAAGAACAGCTATACAGAGAACAGTTCATCTGAATCCCCTCCTTCCAAGTGTTGCCCTACATGATCAAGAAATTCCTTACAACCAACCTATATAGTTGAAAAACAAATAGGCTCTGAGTTTGTCTTCTTAACAACTAGGTAAATATTTTGCCTAAGAAAATGTAATAGTGTCAGGACACTCCCAAATGAGAAGTCACAGGAGAGAGGTTCCTCTCTCCTTCCCTGCCTCCCCCGGGTTTCATGGGCATTTGCACAGAAGGGTCTGGGAGAAGGACATGGGGACTCATCTGCAGAAAGAGGTGTTTACCTATATTGAAGCCCTACAGTGAGGAAGCTACAACTGAGAACAGTTGTTTCTTGTCTTTTGCTAGATTAGTTTTTACAAGTCTGCGAGTCACGGAAATGGACAGACAACTATAGTCAAACAGGTCTAGCTTTGCTCTTCCTAGCTGAGAGACAGTGGGTATATTATTTAACCTTGCCAAGCCTGTTTCTCATTATAAAATGAGAATAACAAATTTACTTTATAAGGTTGTGGAATAAATGGGCTCAGTAGGTATTCAACAAAAGATAGTTTCTTTCCCTTTTATGAAATCTCTAAGAAACTACTTAATATAATGTGTTTCAAGCGAAATGTTTCTCTTAGGAATATAGCCTCAACATCACTAGACTTCACCAGTTTGGAAATATAAATAATATTATATAAATAACACATTTAACAAACTTATTTTCACATTTATGTAATACTAGTGACCGGGTGCACAGCTTCGTGCACATTAAAAGGAAATTAATTAGAAGGTGGCCAAGATGGGCCAGACACACCCTGGAGCTTCCCCAACATCTGCGGAGTGAGCGGGGTCCCTCTGGCAGGTGGAGCCCCTTGGCCTAGCCTGCGGGGATCAGGCCAAAACTGGTCTGAAACCGGCTCTCCGACATCCCCCGAGGGGTCCGTAAGTGCAAGAAGGCACTCAACAAAGTTGCTGTCATACAAGGTGTGGAACGCAAACACAAGTGTGCAGTAAACCAGATTCGGGACCGACAGTGCCCCAGCAGCAACATAACCCACGGCCGAAGGTGGAATCGCACGGCCCCACAAGGAACCAGGCTCCCTCCTCTCTGGTTTCAGGGTGCGCCATCGGAGAACCACCACTGCCAAGTCACTGCAGCTCAGCAGCTCCTGCATTGAACGTCTGCCCCTGGTGGTCAGTGTGCATCATTCGACCGGTAGGACAGTAGGAGGGACACTTAGCATATTAGCCTTTTATATGTATAGATAGTAATTTCTGAGTGTCACTAGGAATGTGACTTGTGCTATTCCCTCAACATTGAACTGGGAGCTGGCTGCTCAAGGAGTTCAACCTAGGGGCAAAAACATCTCCTGCCTCTCCTGGTACAACCCTCCACTGGAGGCTACTTCCCTTGAGAACCTGAGACTCCCAAACTGTTGCATCATCAAGGAGCCAAAATGACATGACTTTCCCTTGAGACGCCAGGGCACCAGAAGCACATTGTGTCTCCCAGGAAAGGACCCTCCCTCCCCTTGTGCTCCTCACTCTATCACTCGGACCACAAATAAAATCACTTCTGTTTTCCTATGAACACAGCTTCTTCACCTTCTGCCTGTAGTCATTTTCCCGTGCTGTCCATAGTAAGGACCAGGGAATTCTCTCTCCCAAAGCCCCTATTCCATATACTCTACCCCAATGCAAACCAATCTCTCTAAACAGGTACTTGATTGTCCAGCTCCCAATCTATCCTAACCATTCAGACTCTGACAACCAGTTTAGGCTCAGCTGGAGTCCTCTCTACATAACAATTACTCCGCTTTCTGGTTTCTCTCCACTAGAAGTCTGCCTTCTAAATCAAAAGCAAGTGTAAAACAGAATAAAATGTGTAATATAAATTTATTCTTCGACATATTTTAAAATAAATTAGAATACATCAATATTTCATGAAAAATATCTAGAAGAATTTAGGTAATACCTGTAATATACATGATTTGACGGTGAATATCATTTTTTTCATTTCAAACATTTTCCTAAAGTAACGTAAACTGATAAGGATTGCTATATTCTTCATATATCCGTTGTCTCACATATTTCAATTCAACTGCTAGTTCTTTCTTAATTATTTATGCTCCTGATGTTTGCTTCTGTTTTCCAATGGGAAGAGGATCCACTTTCTGTTTCTCAGCAGTGGTATTTAGGTCCTTTTTCTCTGATTCTTTAAGAAAATCCTTCATGGCGAGTTTGAACACTAATCGAGGGTCTGGTTCAGAAAGTGGTGGGCAATTGCAGGTCTCTCTAATTTCGAGAGCCTATAGAGAAAGAATACAACAGAATACAAAAAGAACACAAAGCAAATATATACATAAATTTATTAACATTATCCCAATAATTCTTAAAATAGTCTATGCATAATAATAAAATATAAGAATACACCCTGTATTTTTAATAAAAGATAGCTTAATGACAACACATAAAAGAGAACCACAGACAAATTCACAGTAAATAGTTACATTTTCACAAGTTGTTCACATAATAATAGTATATTTGGAAAAAATAAGAGCATCTGCCGTGACCGCCCAGTGTCCCACTGGGAATAAACAAGATCTCTTTGGTTTCAGTCAAACCAATCCTGACGAGCATTCAGATTAGAAAAGATATGAAGACTCTGAGAGACTGTTTTCAAGAAAGATAAAAACAAAACAAAACAGATGTCTGAGCATACTGAAGGGAGGGATACATAACTGGGGCCTTTGCCGTGAACCTGAGGCTAACAGCCTAGGGAAGGGAGTCACCTAAGCAAAGCAAATCATGACTATTTTAACTCCAGAAAAACAGAATGCCGCGAGGAAAGGAAAGGAATCCCAGTACACACATGGCTCAGCGGTGACTGGGGTGCACAGTATTAGACAGAACGTGAGAGCACCATGTGCCACACCAGAAGGGGAGCAGGACGCCTGTGCATGCTGCACAGGGTGTGACAGTGACAGGGCGGCGGGGAGGGTGAGGGGATGGGGAGCTTGAAGCTCATCCTCTGGGGAAAGGGAAACAGATCATGCCTGAAACAGAAAGTTAGGAAGTAGTGCTATGTAGGATGATAGGAAATATAAAAAGAATACTTTAAGAAAGTTGAAACTGAAGGCAGGGTAGGAGGGCTGCTGCTTTAAGGAACTAGCCTTAGAAAAATATGTGATCCTTTAAATTCTTTAAATTACTATTCTTTAGATGACTATAAGGCATAAAAACTAAAAAAAGTGGGGGGGATGTCTTAATATCTAAAGCGTTTTAAAAGAAACATATTTAGGGTAAAAAAACTAGTTTCATTTTATAAATATTACCTCTAACTTTTTTATAGTGATGCATGTTACAGGAAGTAAATAAAGCAGGGAGGGGCAGTCAGTGCTTAGGGGAGTAACAAGGTCTTAGAAAGACTGGCCAGGCAAGCTCTGGTTGATAACATCATGACATTGAGAAGAGGGGGAAAGACCTGAGGCCATGAGAGACCAGGCCATGCGGTACCTAGGAAAGGAGTGCCCCTGCAGGCAGTGGCTGTGGCAACAGCAGCGGGGAGCCCAAGGATGTGCACTGGATGGGAGATGCCTGAGTGCTGGGAACAGGGAGGGAGCTGGTACAGCTGGGCAGAAGGGATCTAGCAGGTAGGAGCAGATAATGTAGGGTCTGTTAGGGCATGGTAAAGATGGTAGGTTTTACTCTGAGCAGGCCTGCCCCAGGTAACTGTGGGGTCCATGGCAAGAATGCAGGTAGAGGCTCAGATACCATGTGTTTAAATATCTAACAGCTGTAAGTCAAGCTAATGAAGTACTACATAACATATGTTCTATTCTCCCACACTTTCAAAACGACCCTGAAGGCCAGGTCCCAAAATTAGAATTCTTGAATTTTGTAACATTTAAGGTTGTGGGGAGCCTACCCCAGCTCCTGCCACTGGCCTGCTGTCCACTCCCTTCTCCCTTCCCTGGCTCACCTGCACTGTGAGGGATCTTGTGTGCGTGCATCCGAGAGGAGGTCCGCACAGGCCCTGGAAGCAGGCTCAAAAGTGTTTGGGCAAGGAATTCCATTCCCTTAAGAACCAGAGTGCCCCATGGTGAGGCACAGGTTCTTAGATGGGTATATTCCCTGAAGTTCAACAGAATAGGGGAGCAGGCAGCCAGAGGCAGCCAGAAAGGGGTCTTGTAAATGGATGAAGTCAGAGCAGGAACTTGAGTCTAGCACAGCCGTGGGCAAACTACGGCCCGCAGGCCGGATCCGGCCCGTTTGAAATGAATAAAACTATTGAAAAAGAAGACCGTACCCTTTTATGTAATGATGTTTACTTTGAATTTATATTAGTTCACACAAACACTCCATCCATGCTTTTGTTCCAGCCCTCCAGTCCAGTTTAAGAACCCATTGTGGCCCTCGAGTCAAAAAGTTTGCCCACCCCTGGTCTAGCAGCACTTCTGACTACAAATGAGGCTATGAGTTACCAAAATAAAGTAAAGGGGAAAAAGCATTCAAGTGAAATTCCTTGGTAGTAGTGTCTTGTCTCAATTTTCCTTATATTTCACCTCTTGCATCTATTGTGTTAAATAAATGTTCCTTAAAGTAAACTGAACTAAACACACATACACACACACACAAAAAAAAAATAAAACAAGTGCGCACATGTCACCCTGACATGAGCAGGCAAAATGACCTTTGCTTCTCAGCCATGGTTCCATTGCTAGGATACCAGGCTACTGTCATCAGATAGTGTTGTATCAGAGGGTCAGAGCAATTTCTGCAGAGGCAAAGCCTCTGCTCACAGCCGGCCCCTCTGAAAGACTTCCAGGTCTCTTTTTTTGTTTTGTGTGTGTGTTTAAATAACTCCTTTTTAACCACACTGACATATTTTTCCAGGTGAGAAGCCAATCTCTCATGGCAGTTACATCACATGCCTAAGGCCTTGACTAGTATCAGTAAGGGGAACAAGGGGGAGCCCAGCAGGAAAGAGTTGGCACAGCTGAGTTTAGCCATGGGAGATGCAAAGCACAAAGGGAAGACAGAATGTCATCTCCTAGAATCTTTAATATTCAGTAAAAGCTCTTCTCTTTCC